AATCGAAATCGAAAAAAAAAAAAAAAAGGGAAAAAAAAGAAGAAAAAAAAAGAAAAAAAAGAAAAAAGAAGAAGAAAAAAAAATGAAATCGAGTCTGAAAGTAGTAATGAGGAAACTAAATAGATGTATAATAAAGAGCCCGGGGATCTTGGCACACACTGGACTTTTGTGGATGTACCTGACCGCACCTACGGCTGGATTCACTGCAAAATGTACCAGTGTGACCATGCCATCGCTTAAGCTAGTAGTCACTCACTCACTAGGACTTCCGTCGATGTACCTGGACGCAAATTACACCCAGATTCATTTGCGAAATGTACCAGTGTGAGCACGGCGTTGTGCAAGGATAAGATCAGATAGGATAATATGAGATATAGATAAAGATAAGGTCAGTCAGTGATAAACTAAGATAAAAGTAGGTGGATAAGATAAGAGAGAGAGCGAGATATATAGCGACCCAAACCTCTGCCAAGCCTGTGCCAAATCCAAACGTCCGCCGAGACTGTGCCAACACAAGCCAGAAATATTGTGCTATTGGTCCGGCTGGAGTACGACCCTCCGTAGAAAAGCTCAAAAATGTAAAAAAAAAAAAAAAAAAAAAAAAAAAAAAAAAAAAAAAACGCTCAAAACAAAGCTGAGCCAAGCCTCTGTGCCGAAGGTCTGTCGGCCTCTCTATTGAGCCTGCCTGTGGCAAAACTGCATGGCGCTCTATGCCAGCGGGGATGCTAAACGGAGCGCTCTTAAAAAATGCTCTGCAAAAAAAAAAAAATGCTCTGCTCATCAGACCCTGGGCCAATAAAGGCCGACCCTTTCTCTCCCTGATCCTCTGCCGACCCTTTCTCTCCCTGATCCTCTGCCGACCCTTTCTCTCCCTGATCCTCTGCCGACCTTGTCTCAGAAATGCCGCTGCAGATCCTCTCTGTGCCAAGTTTCTGCTGAGCCCCTCTCTGCCTACTTTCTGCCAAGCCTCCCTCTCTGTCGAGCCTATGCCAAGCCTTTCTCTCTCTGTCGAGCCTATGCCAAGCCTTTCTCTCTCTGTCGAGCCTATGCCAAGCCTCTCTCTTTTTTTTTTTTTTTTTTTTTTTTTTTTTTTTTTTTTTTTTTTTTTTTTTTGGGGCCCTTATGCAAGGCCTCTATCAAGCCTCTCTCTCATGTGGAGCCTATGCCAAGTTCTCTCTCTGCAAAACCTCCCTCTGTGCTGAGCCTATGCCAAGCCTCGTCTCTCAACCGAGGCTATACCAAGCCTCGTCTCTCGAGAGGGGGTTAACGGAGGCCCCTCAATATTTTCCGGACAACTTCTCATGCCATTTATAACAAAACCCAAGGGGGTCATTTTAACCAAACTTGCTACCAATTCAAAGAGTGAAGATCAGACTAACTACTTACAAGAAAAAAAAAAAAAAAAAAAAAAGCAAGATAAAACAGCAAGGCAAAAGTGTGTTTTCAT